GACTGGATCCCTGCAGCCCTCTAGCAAGGGTCCTCGGGCTCATCCTGTGTGGACTGACACAGGGCTCACTCCCTAGAAAGCTAGGGTAAGAATTTCTTCATGACTGAAGAGTCTGTGTGGAGATGTTGCCTCTCTACCTAGGCAGTAAAACGTCACCCTCACAGCACTGAATGTAGGGCATCCACATGTCTTGACTCCTCCTCACCTACATGTTCCTCTAGGTCTACCCCAAGCCCGGACTGTTTCTTTGGGCTGAGAATACACCTTCAACAAGGCCAAGAAAGGTTAGGTGGCATTCAGAGACCAAGAGTTCCTATACAGGAAAATTTGCCACTTATATTAGGTTATTTGGCCTCCAAATGAGTCCTTTCCCATCCGGCACACACACACACACACACACACACACACACACACACACACACACACACACACACACACACACTTTAATAATAAAGAAATGCCGGTATTGGGCCCTGCTTCCTTCACCCGGGCTGTAGTTGAGACCTGCTGCTGTTTTCCTACAAGCACATGGTCCAAGTAACTGAAACTGAACTGTACAGGAAGTCCTTCACCGAAGTCTGTGTCACTTCTTTATGAGAAAAATGAGTGCACGACTCCTTCAAACATTTTTCCATTTTTATTTTATTACATATATTATCGGTTAATTTTGTTATTTCAGTATTTTGTACATGTGTATAATGTATTCTGCTTGCTCTCCCACACTCTCTTCTACAGTCCCCTATCCCGATCTACTTCCCTGTCCTTACCAACTTCCTTTCCCATTGCCTGACTCTTGGTTGTTTTGTGACCTGTTTAGTTTAACCAAGGCCCTCTGTGACCACTGTGCCAGAACTACCCACTGGAGCCTGGTGAGGTCATCAGTGGGTACAAAATGGAAGGGCAGTGACTCCCCCTTTCCTGAGTCTGTCAGTAACAGATAGCTGAGCAGTAAGAGGGAGAGCCCTGGTCCATCCTTGTACACACCCAGTGCAAATATCCATAGCTTTTGTGAGGTTGTGAGTACAGCGGCTGTGTCTTGCTCAGACAATGACAGTTCCCAGCCTTTCTTATAACTTCCATCTGTTACACTATGCCCACCTCGCTGTTCCCTGGGCCTCAGATGGTATAACGTAACTGTCTTGTGTAGGCATAAACACCCATCCATCTTGATGGCTATATCTGGTTTTCGTTTGAGGTTGTTTTGATTCTGTATTTTTTCTGGAAGAATGTGAGTGAATGTGTTCAGAATATTTTATTTCTAACATCCCAAGGGTTATTTTATTAGGTAAACTCATTCTTTTAATATTCTTCATAAGTCTATCATTTCCTTCATGACGTCCATGTGTGTCAAGTTCATGTTTGTGAGGGAAAAGAAAGTTCATTAAAACTTAAAGACCATGGCCACCTGATAGAGAAGTCTGAAAAATGAAGATTTGCAGTAAAGGTTGGCATTTGCAACTAGCCCACACAGGCCAGGAAATCATGAAACACTCAACTACAAATTACTTCTGTGAATACTCAAAGCGGGACAGCAAGTGTTCAAATCTGGACAAGGTCCATTCCATGATGAATAACACCTGGTATCCATAGATCACTTGCCCAGACAATTGCTTATAATCGCCCACGGCCTCTATCACTCCAGCCACAGAGGAAAATGTGAAGAGTCATCATATTTGGGGGTGACTTCAATGGGTTTCAATAGCTGAGGTTTTGATTTTGATGAATTGCTCATTTTATATTATTCCTTCAAGGAGACCTCTACTTTTAGAGGGAGCCTGAGAAAAAAAAAATATCATCTCTGTGTGTAAATGGTGAGACTTGAAATAGAATGAGAATTGTCTCATCCTGAAAGCTGTAAAATTTCCTGTACATTGTCAGTCTAAACATAAATTGATGAGGGTAGGGGTAGGGAAGAGGGATTTCACCTGACAATCCATCCTTCTCCACAACGTCTCTTCCTGAGGGGGTACTTTCTCCCAAGAGTTGTGTTGGCCATAGTGCTGATACTCACCAACTGACACCTCCCAGGGCTGCTAACTCTGACCTCCTATGAAAGAATACATAGGGGCCCAGGAAAGATTTGTAGTAAAGTCCCTAACTCCAGGAGATCCACCCTGGCCCATTCCTAGCTCCTGTACATCCCTACAAGGGCCTTTCTAGTTTGAGGGCTCTTCTAGCTAACATCAGTATCTCTTCCATGTCTTCTTTCTGTTTACTCCAAGGAATGAGTAGAACTCTTTTTTGCCAAAAAAAGGAGAGATTCCTGGTCTCTCAAATTTAAGGTCCAGAACTGAACCTTACCTTTTGACTCTAATTCTACTATGTGCCTTAGGGTATAACGGTGCTCAGCATCATTTGCAGTTTCTCATTTGGGACACATGCAGGCATGTACACACACACATGCGCACATACTCATTGATTGTCAATTCTATCAGTTTTATGAAATCCTTGACTCCTTACTTCAATTCTCTTAGAATCAGTGATGGCATATTTGTTCCTCCGCAGAAATTCTTGCTGAGATGGAGGTAGGCTCTTTTTAGATAACATGCCTCATATCTGGGATGATTTATTCACTTTCAAGTTCCCTGGAATTTATTGCTGAAGGTTGATGTGGATGCTTACAGTTTGGGCTCTAATATAATCTCCCGAGTGGCAATTAATAAATAAAAGATGCTTGCTGTTGTTGACAAAGGATCTAGGCTTTCTCAGCTAGCTTTTTCCTTTATATTTTCACCAAATTTTATGCCAGGCATCCCTAGGGGGTTGATGCTAAAAAATATTTTCTGTAAATTCTAAAGCTTTTACTCTTGTTTCAATATTCCCAAACCTCTATGTTGTCTTTTATTTTCCTTGTCAGAAATGATCGTCCTTGGTTCTTTTTTTTTTCAACTCTCCTCCCTTGCTGTGAATTGGGGGAAGTGCCTTTTTCTGGATTTAACAGTAACATAGCCTTAGTACTTATGCTTGCAAATAGCACCTGCAATTTGTCCCTGAATTTTCTTGTATTTTTCTCAGTCTCTTCTCAGTTTCCTTTATTGAATATGCACTGTCATCTATAAAATGCGGTGTTTATTGTCATGGTGTGTATTGTTCACAGTGTAAGGTTGCTTCCTGTAAGTTAATGATGAAACCATAAGGTAATATCCAATTGTTGCAGTGTGCTGGCTCAACTGGGTGGGCTCCAGGGCTCATCTAGACTAATATTCCTATTTTAGAGATGAGGTCACCTTAAGGACCTTGACCATAATCAAGTAGAGGGCAGATACAGAACACATTTTGAGGTTGTAAAGTACGTGGTACAGAGCTTCAACTGGACTACCTCTGCTCAGTGCCCAGTGGGGAGGTGAAATGTGTAACTGTAACACATTACTTCTACATGCTAACAGGCTGAGGATTTATTTTGGTAGTAGATCATTTGCCTAGCGTGCCTAAGAACTTTGGTTTGATTTCCTGGCCCCACAACCGTGCCAATATTAGTACCGATACCACAACTGTAAGGCTTATAGTAAGTTAATATCAGTAAAAGACAGGGTAGGTGCTTGGCACACTCTGGGAATTCTAAATATTGTTAGCTGTTATTCCAGTTCTTTACATATTCCAGCAAAGGTGAAAGTGTGTGCTGCTAATCAACTTTATGTGGCTGTGACGTACATTAGACCCTGCCTGTACTTATCTTATAGGCCTTGCTTTGTGCAGTGAGGAGCTAGGGGTCACATCCATGGTGACAGCGGGAGCAGAAATGAAAATAGTGATGACAATAAGAAGAGGTGGTGCCATTTGCTGAGCCTTACGGTGCGGTGTGCTTTGAAGTTGACACTCACATGCATAATGCTCCGTATGTGCTCATGCCACATATATGGACAAGCCACAGAGTCCGTTATTTCCAGAACCATGGTGCACACTCTTGATGACAATCGTCTTCCTGGTAACTGGAGGGAAACAGAGAGGCCTTGATGGAGCAGCTTGAATGCCAAAACAAAAGCTTTAATGGAATTATTTCTACCTTTGAAATAACCAATTTGCTACTAATATTTCTATCACTTAGTCTTGTTACTGATGATAAGGAGACTGGCTGGAGCAAGAATGGAGGTCGAAGAGTGGAGGAGAGTGGGGCTGGCCCAGGGCAAGAGAAACGACAACAAGAAGATGGTGTGTGGAAAAGACAGGCCCTTCAAAGCTCTCTTATGTCTCACTTCCCTGCTCAGCAGTTATTTATTATATAAAAAGGCAGCTGCTTTCCTGGGCTCCAGATTGAAATATACTTGGAGCAGCAGCACCAAGAAAAATCTCTTTCCTCACTTGCTGCGATTTATTTGCAGACTAAGTAAATTTCATTCACCATGCATGAATTATCTCTAGGATAATGTAAAGAATTTAATTATGAAAATCTTTATCACTAATGGTCCTTGATTTCCAGGCCAATCAAATAAACAACTCTGGCAGTAATAACAGGTACAGTGGAGGAGACGGCAGGCTGAGTACTAAGGGAATGTGAGTTTGTGTGCCCCTGGCTGGGAGTGGTGGCAAACGCCCTTAACCTCACCACTCCAGAATCAGAAGCAGGCAGATCTCTGTGAGTTCGAGGCCAGTCTGTCTATATAGTGTTTGTGTGCCTCTCTGTCCATATGTGTGTACATGGGTGTATATACTCTCAAACATGCAATCTGTGGACAGTGACTTTTCAAATTCACATGTATGCATACCTACGTGTGCATATACACATGCATATAAGTTTCCATATGTAAAACAGATTTAAATACTGCCATCTAAAAGCTTATCACAGCTGTAGAAAAAGACACTGAGGTTCAGAGATGTCAATCCACTTCCCCAAGATGACCAAAAATAATGGCAAAGCTAGAGTTTCGCCAACAACATTTACTGACTCAACACCCTCTTTTCAAAGCTTCCTGAAAAGAAATATTCTCAGAGTAATGTGCGTTTCCACCATAGCACCCTGCTCCAGTATGGAGAGGGCTGATCTTTCATGCTTTCTCTTCCAGACTCTCCAAGCAAAGATTTTGGTCCGACTTTGGGTTTGAAAAAGTCCAGTTCCTTGGAGAGCCTGCAGACTGCTGTGGCCGAAGTCAGGAAGAATGACCTGCCCTTCCACAGGCCCAGACCACACATGGTGCGAGGCCGGGGCTGCAATGAAAGCTTCAGAGCAGCCATTGACAAATCCTACGACGGGCCGGAAGAAGGAGAAGCTGGTAGGGCCATATGCCCCCTTAAGTGGGTTCTTCATCTCATTATTATCTGCAAGTCATAAGCCAGAATTGCACTTAACTACTGAAAAAAAAATGATTTAAGGATCACAATTATATTTTTGATATTAAAAGTAATTCATTTTCCTGATATGTTTTGCCCTTTGGCTTAACGAACATGGGATTGGAGAATGCGATGTGCAATTTATTTCAACAGTACAAACTGAAAAAAAAAATGTTCTCTTTCACTTCCCTAGAAGGACCAACTGTCATTTACCCTTAGGGCAGGAGCACTAAGCATGCATTTCTTGGCATTCTTATTTGAATCATTAAAAGCAACATCAACCAGAGGACTGGCTGCATTAATTGTGTAGATGTGGTGGGCTATATTTATGCTCAACAAAACCTCTCTTGGAAAGAAGCTCACCCTGTTTGTTTCCCAGCGTGTAGGCTTTTGGAGCTGATGGAGGTTAACCAGCCAGCTTCCAGAGAGATTAGTGCCTTAGCAATTTTCAAGCCTTTTGTGCTACCAGCTAGCAACCCAGGGGCCCCACTCCCGACCTCAAAGGTTGATTGAAGTACCCAGGACTGGGAAGTCCTATCTGATATCAAAGGGTACGAGTAACCATGTGGTTGGGTAGAACACTGAGCACTTCTCCTCATTCTTCTGTATTTTACATTTTGACTTTTTTTATATACTAGCCATAAGTGCCCCTGACCATGGATATTGATTTTTCCCCTCTACAGACGGTCTCTCTGATAAGAGCTCTCACTCTGGCCATGGAGCTCTGAATTGTGAGTCTGCCCCTCAGGGAAACCCCGAGCTAGACGATGTGGAAAATAAAGCCAGGAAAGTCAAAAAACCGAAAGAGAAGGAGAAGAAAAAGGGCAAGCAGAAAGTCAAGGAGAAAAAGCAGAAAGAGGAGAGTGAGGACCCAGAGAGGAAAATGAAGAGGAAGGGCTTCGGGGCCATGCTGAGGTAAGAGCCTGCTGTGACAACACTCGGTGGCCTTCCTTCTCCTAGCTAACCCACTCCTTTGTGCTGCTCGGAAAAAGGTGTGAGTGTTCTCTCATCCTCAGCTACATTCATCAAAGTCAAGGCTGTGACTGTATTTTTGGTATTTGCCAAGAAGGCATAAAAAGCCTTTGGGATGTCCCCTGAAGACTGTGACGATGACAGGAAACTGTCATAAGCCTGTTGTAAGGAGGCCAAGCGCTTAGTAGGGCATAGGAAGTGTTCCCTGGGTGTCCCTCTCTGCACAGTGAAAACAAGAGACTACTATATATATCATCCTTCTGTGACTTCTGATACTCAGGTCACCAACACAGTAGCTGTCACTTGCAGAGGCACTGTGATACATTAGAGATGTCCCTGGGACGAGGGCCATATGACCCAGGTCTCAATTCATGACCTTCCACATCTCGGCTGTAAGTTTCCCATAACTTCCTTCCCTTCCTTTCAGACTGAGACAAACATCATTCCTTCCTGTGGGCCCCATGGGCCTGGGAGATAAGATATCACGTGCAGCAGATTCAGCAGCTCAGAGTGCTGAGCAGCACACAGTCGGAATACAACTTATTTCTTCTTGTACAGCTGCCCTCCAAGAAACACTCTGTAGAAACTATCACTCCACATTCTGGTTTCCCAGTGATCTGGCTGATTTCTGGTCATTTGGACAGAGGCTTAGACAACTAGTTCAATGTGAACCAGAATATACCTCCTCCCTGGGCATAACTTTCCTGTCTGTGGAACCATGTGCAGGGGAAGGGCAGTCTTAAGCTGAAGGGTGTTTTAACTGGTTTAGGTGGTACAAACTGCCTACCAGGGGTCCTTTAGGAACACCTTTGTGGATGGTTGAGGAAGATCTTTAGTATAGCAGTTGCTACTGGTAGAAATCATTTCCATGGCTGACTTCCTAAGGGTCACTTACCCTTAGCCCCTGACCTCAGATAGTGTGCCTAGAGTCTCCTTACTCAAGCTGGCAGACTTCTTAGACGTTGATAGAAGGCACTAACCTGAGCACCAGCACCAGCAGCAGCAGCACCAGCAGCAGTATCTCCCCGGACTTCTTAGATGGAGAGGGAGAAAGCTTATACTCTATGGCAGCAGCAGCAGCATCTCCCCTGACTTCTTAGATGGAGGCAGAGAAAGCTTACACTCTATGGCAGCTGCAGCAGCATCTCCCCTGACTGCTTAGATGGAGGCGGAGAAAGCTTATACTCTATTGAAGCAGCAGCAGCATCTCCCCTGACTTCTTAGATGGAGGCAGAGAAAGCTTACACTCTATTGAAGCAGCAGCAGCATCTCCCCTGACTTCTTAGATGGAGGCAGAGAAAGCTTACACTCTATGGCAGCTGCAGCAGCATCTCCCTGGCCTGTACCTGCTTCAATCACCAACCCTCACCCCTCCAAATCACTCCAGTGCAGCTTGTTCTGGTTGCTCTCCCTCCCCTCCCACTACTGCATGGAGGTCACACCAACCTTGCTTCCTAAGACTTCTCCAGAGCACCAGTTTGCCTTCCTACCCAGAAGGACATGCCAGACTCCTCAAGCATGCTGCCCTGCTTATGTCAAGGGAAAGAATCAGAAAATGTTTGCTGCTCCCAAAGCAGGATTTATAAAGTCACTTCCTAATTCTCAGAGTATTTTCTTGTATCTCTCTCTCTTTTTTTTTTTTTTTTTTTTTGGTGGAGGAGCAGGAAGTAAGGTAGAGGTACCCATTCCATGACTTTATTTCTAAAACTCCCTAGCAAATCTACCAGTATCTATCCTTCTTTGCTATGATCAACAGATAATGTATGATAGATTTAACCATATTGTGTAAACCCTGAGAATATCTGTCTTTTAAACACTCTGGGGGATACAGGATACTAGTTATTCTCAGTGTGAAATCTTCAACTGATAATTTTAGATAGAAAATAAAATTCAATTCTCTTATTCAATCTTTTCCTCCTTTCCTTTTTCTTTCATTCTGTGTGTATACGTGTGTGTGCGTGTGTACGTGTGTGTGTGTGTGTGTACGTGTGTGTGTGTGTGTGTGTGTGTGTGTGTGTGTGTGTGTATGCGCGTGTGCATGCACACATGTGTGTGGAGAGAGAGAGAGAGCCTTAGGAACAGCAAAATGACATTTAAAGGACACAAATAGTGTGGATAGCTCTGAGCCATCCCATTACATATCCAATGTCCAAACAATGCTCCTTAAAGTCTTAGTACCAATGTCCCTGGATGTATTGTGACAGGACATGCTGAGCCTTGCTGAGGTCACCTGTATTAATACTTTCCTATTGCTGTGATAAAACACCAGGAACAAGACAACTTATAAAAGAAAGTGTTTAATTCGACTACAAAGGATTAGAGTCCATCGTGGTGGAACAAAGGCATGGTGGCAGGAAGAGTTGAGAGTTCACATATTAAAACTATAATCAGGAAGTAGAAAGAGCAGTAAGAATGGCAGGATTCTTTTAAAACCTCAAAGGCCACCCCCTTGTTACACACTTCCTAATCCTTAAATAATTCTACCAACTAGGAACAAAACATTCAAACATGTGAGCCTGTGAAGGCCATTCTCAGTCCGTCTATTGCATAATCCTAGCAGGCCCAAAACCCTAGAAATCAATGGACAATCAAAGAATAAGATTTCCAGTTTAAAGATCAAATCTTTTGCTATGGGTTTGTCAACAGTGCCATGTCTCACTTACAGAAGAGGGACAGACAGTTGGACGAGCTAAGCACAAGGGATGGGCTTTATGAACAAGAAAAGGATGAAGAAAGGAGGAACAAGGGACACACAGTGGACGTCCACTGCAGACAGCTTTCTTCTACAGGGACAGAAGAAGGGACATCCTCACCATGGTGTCTTGGGGTGACAGGTCCTCTTTTGATTGGTTTCTGTAAACCTCCTGATATTTTGGAAACTCGTCCATTTCTAAGTTAATTTTGAACGTGTAACACCGAGCACAAGTGGCCACATTCTGGTTTTGGCCAGGAGCTCAATCTAAAGAAGTGGTTTATTCTACTCAGTGTGACTTTGGAATAGACTGCAGTCTAGCAACTCTCAGTGAGACCTGTCTTTCCATTGTTTAAGTCTTTGCTGTGGGCATTCTAGACACTGCCCTTCCTTTGCTACCCTGAGTTTTGGGGTCCGAAGTGTCATTATTATGCTCATCAGATGTCATAGGCAGTTGAGGATGGGGACATGGCTCAGATGTCAGCATGAAGACCAGATCAGATCCTCACAATCCACATAAACCCTGAGCAGGGTAGTGCAGCAGACTTTCTTGGACCACAAACTAGCTCTCAAATCAAGATGCAGAGACTTACTATCAATTATGAATGCTCAGCCTTATCTTATACCTGTTTCTAGCTAACTTTTTTCTTTAACTTAATGCATTTCTGTTAATCTGTGTGCTGCCCCAAGGCTCATTTACCTCATCTATATACTGTCCATACTGCTTTCCTGCTTCCTCCCTGTCTGTCTGGCTGGACCATGGCTGCCTTGCTTCCCTTTTCTCTCTGCCTGCCAACCCCAACTATCCCTCCTCTGCCTAGCTATAGACCACTCAGCTTCTTATTAGACCAATCAGGAGCCTTAGGCAGGCAAGGTGAAACAGCAACACATCTTTACATAGTTAAACAACTGCAGCAGAAATAAATGAAACACATATTTACATAGTTAAACAACTATTCTGCAATACAAACAAATGTAACACATCTTTACTTCGTTAAACAAATATTCTATTCCACAACAGGGTAGCCCACCTGTGGTCCCTGGGGGCAACAGGATCTCCAGTGCAAGCTGGCTAGCTAGACTAATCAAATTAACACACTCTGGGTTCAACTGAGAGACCCTATCTGTATATGTAAGGTGAAAAGCAATCAAGGAAGCATTCACCATCAACCTTTTGGCTTCCACATGTGTGTGCGCACATGTACACACTCACCCTTGTATACATATGCACACATATGTAACACGAATTGCTAAGTGGTCTTATTAATAAAGAAAATGGAGCCATGTGAAAGCTGAAAGATCGGAGAAACAGAACAAGCCACAGCCAACCTCACCAACTCCTCAGCCAATCCTGTTTCCACAAATCCTCAGACTGAAAGCCTCTGAGTCCTCACCCCCGAGGGTCTCAGTTGAACTGCTTTTAGTTCCTGTGTCCTCACACCTTATATACTGTCATTTCATAGGATTAAAGGTGTGTATGCTTCCCAAGCAAAGGCATGAGATCTCAAGTGCTGGAATTAAACATGTGTGCCACCATGCCTGGCTCTGTTCCCAGTGTGGCCTTGAACTCACAGAGGTCCAGATGGATCTCTGCGCCTCCTGAGTGATAGGATTAAGGCTGTGTGCCACCACTGTCTGGCCTCTATGTCTAATCTAGTAGCTGGCTCTGTCCTCTGATCCCCAGATAAGTTTATTAGGGTACACAATATATTGGGGTCACAATATATTACCACACACATACATGAGTGAATACACATACACACATCCATGCATGCAAACACTAAGGTGAATAAATACATAAAATATTTTTAGGACATGAAATTGTAGTTTGTAATGTGGGCATGTTGGCAATAATTATAACAGTATTTATGTGAGAATTTTTTCTGTGAAGTGGTGGAGTTGAATAGTTGCAAGTTCAGGCTCTGCATGAGGACCTCTGATTTAAATCTCAGCCCCTTCACTCTCTAGCTAGGGAACATTGGACACACTAACTCCTTCACTTTAGTTTCTTCATCTGAAAACAGAATGATAATTGGATCTACTACCAATGTAAGAAATATATTAGATCAACTATATAATCTATTTAGAACTATGCTTTGCAAGTAATATATATTCAATAATAAACAAAATTCCCCTAAAGAGGCCCAAGCCCTAATCCCTAGTACTTGACAAAGGAGAATTAAGGTTGGAGAAGGCAGAAGGATGGCTGTTCTGCTGGGCCTGAGATAAAGGGGTTGTCCTGAGTTTCCTC